CGCGCTCTCAGCGCTCTTTAAAAGCTTTTCTCTCATATAAATTGCCATCGTCCACCCCGGAGCCTTGCCCCGAGGCCTGTGTTTCAGCCGCGGAAGGAAGTAAAAGCCTGTCCCTCCCGACTGGCCGTGTGTCTGTCCGCTGTCCCAGCCTGCTGTTAGCCACGTCAGTCCGAAAGCAAGCAAAGCCTGCTCGCCTCGGGGTTTTAAAGCACAGCATTGCAAGTATTCACTGAGAACAAGGGATTCTGTTTTACCAGATGTACATACGTTTAAGGCATTCTAATTTAGCAGGATTTTTATGGCAGGGGGGGTCCATGGGCACTAGCAGAAAGCATGTAAACTGCCTCGGGAAATGGTGACTCCTTGATGATATAAAACATTGTTTCACAGATAATGCTAATCTGGTGAGATGGAAGTGGTAAGAAAATTGCAAAATAAGGCAAGGAATCTTGCAGCTCTGTGTGCTATGGAATAGCTTGTGGGAAAGAGCCAAAGGAGAAAATTAATGCAAATATTCCAGTTTTCAGTGGTAATGGGTTTCTTTGTTGTGCTCTGTTGAAGGAGGTAGTGTGGTAACAGAGTTTCATTAAACAGTGGTATGGAGTGAGCCTGTAGGGAAGAGTGGGAAATCTTGCTGTTGATCCAGAAATGCATGCCAATATAGTAACTGTAATTGATAAAGGGGATAATCTTGTCTTGTTCCCATTTCCATATTGCCTTATTCTGTGATCACAGAACAGTTTGGGTTGGAAGGGACCTTTAAAGATTCACCACTCCAACCCTCCTGCCATGGGCAGGGATATCTGTCATTACATCAGGCTGCACAAAGCCCCATCCAGCCTGGCTGTGGACACTTCCAGGGATGGAGCATCCACAGCTACTCAGGAAATCATAGTCACCGAGCTGTGTTTTTGTTGTAATTTGTTGTCAGTCAGGGAATACTCTGAATTTTTAAACTTTCTTCCCACCTTTTCCCTAGACTGACTGTATTTTCTGTCACGGAAAGAGTCCTGGCGAGTGTGAAATAGTTTTTCTGATCCAGTTGCATGTGATCTGATTTGGCTCTCACACCTGGGTTTCTAAACAGGTATTTTAAGAGCAATGCAAGTCTCAAGTTGTCTGGGCATCCTAGAGAAACTAATTGAAAAAACTATAGAACAAGTATAGGTTGGAAGATTCTGGATATTGAATGGGTTCTCTAGTTAATTCCAAGTAATACGGTACTTGACATACTCAGTTATGTCTTTAGCAGCACAGTGTCACGATTTGGAAGGTAGCCCTGATATTTAAAAATCTCATATAACTGAAGAATAAATATTTTATTAGTCTGTAAGGTAAGTTGGTTTCAGAGGTCTGACTTCATAAACATTTGTGCTGTAGTTATCAAACGGTGCATATACCAGAAAAAGAGTCACTAATGTGACCAAAATTATGATCTCTTAAATTTTTTTGAAAAAGGTCATGATATTTTTGTAATTTTTAAAGTGCTTTTCTTAAAGTCTGAATCCCAGCTGCTGTGAGATTATTCACATCAAAGGTCCATCTGTCGCAGTGTATGTTCAGCTTTGTCTTACTGCAGATCTCTAGGACAGACAGTAAGAAATGGGCAAGCATAGGCGATACTTTCATTAAATATTGTCCTAACCTCCCAGAAATTTGAGGCTTGGGGGCTTCTTGAAACAGAGGGATTTAACCACCCCATCAGTGTTTGTGGTTTGTTTTTTTTTCCTGTTTGCCACTGCTTGTCCGGCATCAGGAGTTCCTTCTCTTCATTTTTAAGCTATCTTTTAATTTCATTTGATGCCTCTGTAATGCATATGTTGTAAGAGACAGTGAAAGTCATTCCTTTTTTACCTTCTCCTGTGCCATTTATGTTCTAAGATACCTCCCTGTCATAGTTTCCTGTCCAGACTGAACAGCTGTTCCTTGTATAAAAGCTGCTCTACATTTCATAATCTTTATTGTCCTTCTCTGAACCTTTGCCAGTGCTTCTGTTCTCTTTTTGAGGAGGGACAAAACCTGTGTTTAGTGTTGAAGATGCATACTACCCACTTAGGCAGTGACATAAAGGTATGGTGTCTCATCAGCACTCTTGACTTCAGTGGTGTACGTAGGTAGTACTTCACTGCAGATCTATTATTAAGTTCTCACTTGTACCAAGTCTTCTCCCAGTCAGATCTTCCTTCTGCTGTGCTCACCACTTGTGAGTTCCTAGTGTGAATCTGGAGTCTGGTATCCGTGGTTGTCTTGGAGTAGGTAGATCTTAGTGGCGTTCAGAATGCCAGGCACAGGAGAAAGCCCCAATTCAGGTTATAAATACGAAAAGGGAGAACTGGATTGGAAATCTTTGAAGAAAAAAAAGCCCTTTAACCTTTATTTTTGTTTTTAAACAAAGTTATTTTGTTGATGCATATTAAATGAAAGCACAGCTTTCTTCATACTGAAGAATTGGGTTGTTTTTTCGTGCTCTGTGATGGATTGACGGCACTGAATATGTACCATGTACATATGAACCTGAATATGAACCATATAGCAGGTTCCTGTTCTATTCTAAAAAGTACTTCTAAGTAAAAGAAGCTGAAAATTGAGGTACTGAAAAATGATTTGATTTTATAGCTGATAACTGACTTCTGTTAATTTAGTCTTTGTCTTTTGACAGGCAAGTCCATGAAGTCCAGTCTTACATGGGGCGCCTGGAGACTTCAGACAAAGAGTCAGTACACTGTAAGTAATTAAGTAGTGAGAAAAGTCCTACTCCAGTACTCATCTGATTTAGCTTGCATCTTAACCTTGTATGCTTTATTATTGAACTTACAATTTACAGTCATTATTGGAATGAATTTGTCTCTTCAGTCATTGTGATCAACTGGTCAGAGACATCACCAATTTGGAATGCATTAAAATTATTTTATCATTTGACTTGAATAAGGTGATGTTTTGTATTGAAGGACAGAGTGGAAAAGACAGAACAAGAATTTACTTCAAGTCATTTTCCTGTTGTAATTCTTTAATTGACAAGTACTGCTTACAGTGGATGCTTCTTCAGTGTCTTGATAAAGGAATGCCAGATATTTTTTGGTGCTGTTAGATGTTTTGGAACTCATTTCAGGGTATGAGGAAGACCTATGGAGGCCTTCAACATAAACAGATTAAAAAAACCCCACACTGATGTGGACAGAACTGCAAATTCAGGACATCACCAGGCTAGTTTGTTAGAAGCTCGGAAGCTGAGAAATGTAACTGTATTTTCTGCCCTGTTATTTTGCTGTTCCTTAAGCATCCACTGACTGTCAGTCTTCCCCAAAAGATGCTTAGTCCAGTTTCTGGGGAAAATGGTGTTCTCTGGTGTGCAGGAATTTAAGCAGGATGATTCTAATAGTTCTTGTTTGTATCAGAGTCAGAACCTGTAATTCCATCTGCTTATGAGAAATACGTAGAACAACTAGGTCTGAAATTGCTTCAGTAAATTTGGACTATAACCCTGTGCTAATAGAATGACTGTAATAAAATGCAACGATATATTGTGGCAGGACTTTTTACCCCAGTGCAGAATTGGCAAATGAATTTTGAACCTGTGTTTGAAGGCTTAATTCCTGTATGAGTAATTGCTAATGAGCTTCATCAGGAGCTTCTGAAGTGAAAGGACACTGCATTTATACATATGTTGACTGACCTCTGTTACCCTAAATACGTTTGTGAAGCATGACTTTGCTGTAGAAAGGGCTGTGATAACTTTGCCTATCAAAAAAGAACTACTTGTCTACTGGTTCTGTTTTTTGTGGTGGTTGTACTACTCTTAATACAATGCCAGACTTCACAGACTGCTGTTCACTGTCTGTGATTTTGGAACCTCTTGAAAAATAGCATAATTTGCCATCTTGCCTGTGCTACTTGAGATAGTATTATGCACCATATTACATAATCAATCATAATCAATAAATTAATGTACTGTTTTTATATATATGTATGTAAAGATACAGATATGTGCTCTAGATATTAGTGTGTATTTCAGAATTTATGGGGAAAAGGACTATCTTTTGGTTGAAGAGCAGGAATAGGAGCCAGGAAATGAAACTTTCTGTTGCAGATTTCCTTTTCTAACTTTGGGGAAATAATCCCTTCTTAGCTCAGAAAAGCATAAGATGACCAAGATAGTATTACTGTTGTTTGGACTAGCAAAAGCTGATGTAATTGTCTGCTCTCCTGATTGCTTTTCTGTTAGGTTTAGCAGTTCTAAATGATGGAGAGATGAATTAGAATGGTGTGGTTGATTTGTGTCTACATATATGAATTGGTTGTTCTTTGATTGTGTCAGATCAAAGGGCAAAGAAAAGGGGTTGTATGTGCTGTTTACTTTCCTGGGTTCTGCTGAATGCAGTTTTCTGGAAAGTCCTGAGATACTGTGGAGTAATTAGCAGTTGGTTAATAATGTATACTTCTTTAGCCTAAATAAGAACAAACAGTCCCTGTAGGATTTGGTGATTATTTATACGATGTCTGACCATGGCACTCTGAGACTTCGGGACCATCCTCATGGATGCATGGATGTGACCGTGCTTCTGTCCTGTAATAACCAGTCTGTGGATGTGCTCTGGAGGGTGTGTACCCACAGCCTTACAGCTCACCTTCTTTAAAGACAAGAATGTCAGGTGATTAATAGCGCTCCTGTCTTTCACCCTTCTCTGCAATTCTTTAAGTTGTGAAATGCAGGATTGTGACATGGTTAGAAAATGTGGTTGTCAAATGAGGAAGGGGATTGTGGCTTGTACCCAGTTTTGCTGTACAATGACTACAGTAACTGAAAACATATGATTCTCTTTCCCCAGTTGTATGTTTCCCACCTCATTATAGTACAAGTATATGAGTCTGCATTGTGCACTATTTCCCTTATGCTAATTCTACGTGATTATCAGAAGCAATTGCAATGTAAATGATTACAGAGGCAATTATTTTGAGGCCTTGTTTTCCCACTTGCAAGGGCTTCCCAGCCCTGTTTTGGCCATGTTTTTCTGAGCTCTTTGTCCAATCTGCCAATTCCTATGAACTCTTAATCCTTCCGATGCTCTGTCAGTCTCTCCTGCTATAGGTACGGATGGCATATATTAACTCTGTGTTAACAGTTTTCAGATGTTTAAATTGCCATTGTTGCAAGAATCATCTTGTGTGAGCAAATCCTGCCGAGGGAACGGGAAGGGGCTGCAGGGAGATTGTGGGAACTTTAAATCCTAATATATGGAGCGGACAGGGGAAGGGGCTCAGATATCTTGAAAGAGCAGGGACTTTCCTAGCCCCCTTCTCAGAGGAGGAGGAGAAGGCAAGAGTCTGAAATTATTCAGTTGAAGAAGTGGCTTTTCATGATACGTATAGTTCTCTCTTACCTGATTTTTTGTTGTTGTCGTTGTCCAGTAAGGATTTGCATCTGTCGGGTTTTAAATCCTGGTTTGAGTGCTTTTGAGCTTTAACCTTCAATCAGATTGCACTTCTTTAATTCAAATAAAATCACATTTTTATTTCCTTGCAGTAGTAGAAAATGAGATTCAGGCAAGAATAGACAATATATTCAGCAACTTGGAGCGTCTGGAAATTTTGTCCAGCAAAGAACCTCCCAATAAGCGACAGAATGCTAAACTGTAAGTTCACCTTCTTTGCTGTAATAGTATATGTAGTCTTTGTAATTATTTTCATAAATTTATTGAAGCCCTTTGCCCTTTGATTTGAGTGAAACCTTTATGCTTTGCATAACTTATCTCTGTGCTCTACAGTAGCAAAATTGAGGCACGGAGGCAAAATCACTTTCCTGCATTTAACCACAGACTGGTGGTGGAGCTGGATTCATGGCTCTGTTCTGAAATGAGCAGAACATGGCACTTGGATGCTTAAAAACATTTCTACTCTATATGGCATTTGCTTTCAATGGCATTTGTGGAGGTAAGGAGTAAAATTATTTCAGTTGGTGTCATTTTCTCTGGACCATTTTCCAAGCTGTTGGTGACTAAAGTAAGGAAATTTCTAAAGTGAGCACTGGTTTGAGCAGGAGGTTGGACCAGAGGCCTCAGGACTTACTGTTCTAATTTATTCTGTGACTCTACTATTAATGCTTAGTCACAAAATGCCTTTGTAGATACTAGGGTTGGATTTCATGTCACCTGTGTTATAGAGGTCAGTATCTGAAATAGTCATCTAGGCTTTCTTAATAGTAATCAAACACTTAATCAGAGACAATGGACTTCTGGACATTATTTGTTTTAGCCTTATGGAGATGTCTTCTGTACTGCCCACTGACTTTTAAGCCCCTTTTAATAAAATCTCAAATTTAAGAACATGGTGCTAATTAATGAAACTTGAAAGCTTAATCTTTTATGTGAATGGGATTAATAAAATAGAAACTGTACAAATCCTATCATCTTTCCAAATCTGTGTTAAATGAGAAATATATATATAACACTCCTGAACAGACTAGTCATGGGCTAGGATATCCAAGACAGCTCAGGAATTCTGCTTCACATTCTGTTGTTAGTCCCCAGTTAAATAATCACCTGTTCAGTAGAAAAATGAGGCACAGAAGATCAAAGTCAGGAATATAGGCCTAACATTGAATGCTCTTTTTATCTTCTAGATAAGTAGAACTCATCATTCTTTATTATTCGTCACTGTTAATTTATAATGCTCCATTGTTCATATAAAAACACCAGAAAAGAATGGTATTTTTATCCCTGGGAATGTCTTCGTGTTGTTGGTCCTTTCTAGGCGAGTTGACCAGCTGAAGTATGATGTTCAGCATCTGCAGACAGCTCTGAGGAACTTTCAACATCGCCGTTACATCCGGGAGCAGCAGGAGCGACAAAGAGAGGAGTTGCTTGCACGTACATTCACTACTAATGTAAATATTCTTCATCTTAGATGTCTCTGTTCTAGATGCTGTAGTCTTTCAGAGAAGTTTCAGGCAGATGTAGGCATCACTCTATTAGATTGCTGCTGTGAGATGTAAATGGAATAAAGATAGAAAAGAGCAACAATATGTGTTGAAGAAGTACAACTCTCTCATGAGGAAAAGTTTGCGTATTAGGAGGCAGTAGTAAAAGACTCCAGAAACTGCTGCTCCTATTTTATCCAGTGCAGTTCTACCTGACTTTATATAGCAGTTTCAAAGGGGTGAATGAGATAGGTACCACAGTACACATTTTACTTGGGTTTGTGTCACATGTTTTTGTCAAATCCTGAGATCTGTAAAATGTTTTGCTATTATACACCCTGCTGTCAGTAGATGTCAGCAGGCTTGAATTTGTCTAAATACAAATCACACGGCTGGGGAAAAAAACCTTGCTTTTTACCTATAAATGTTTCAAAAGTTTTTTATTACAGGAATGTGTTTCCACCTGTTCTTGTTAATTTTTAGTTCCTCCACTGGGAGGAATTTTCTTCTGAATAATGTAGGTTTGCTTTCAGATTTCACTTTTCTGTAACTCAAAAGCTAGTCTCTTTTTTTGGTTTGTTTTGTTGGTTTTTGTTTCTTTGGGTTTTGTTTGTTTTTTGTGTTTTTTTTTTTGTTAAAGGCATATAACCTACCATTCTTTTTCTGTGTTGTCCTTCACTGTTAGGACAAGGAAGAGTGAACACGAGCGGTCCTATTTTCTTGAGATTTGGGAGTTTCAATGCACTTTTCCAAGCCAGAGATGAAGATGACATTTAGCATTTTGTTGGCTATTTTGAAATTATAAACAAGACTTGCAAGGAACATTTGAAACTGATTTATTTTCAAAACACTGTGGTGTTCCTCTGCGGATATGGAGAAATTTTCCTATAGGAAAACTTTTTATTCAGAAATAAAACATGTGTAAGTGGAACAGTTCTGAAGAGCAGTAGGAGGCTTGCAAATGCAAAATAAATGGTGAATTGTTTTTTTTCTTCTTTAGATGTTGAAAGGTATCTCAAGATTAAAAAAAGCACGAATATTTTCTATTTCTTTTAACTCATTACAAAAATGTGACTTTGAAAGTAGGACGACCCTTTAATAGGAGAATGATTTATATGTCAGTTTTTGGCCTATCTGTTTTGGTTAGAAGTTTACACAGTTTCTATTTATATATTACCCTATTCTATTAAATAGAAATGTCAGCTGAGCATGTAAGCATCCTGAATAAATCAGTCACATAGGTAGCAGTTTTTGAAAGCTGTAGCATTTCTGAACATTTTGCTTAATTCGAAGATAAATGTGGTCTTTATCTTTAAAGCCTTCCCTTGTACCATTCTGGAGAAAACCACTAACAGAAAATGAAACATATGATACCATCCAGTCTCCCTGTGAGAAGGGTCAAAAATCTACTTTGATATTTTTCTTGCTGCCTTGTGATGTATTAAAAAACCCTATAAGCTCCTCGTATAGGAAATGGAATCCCCGCTGATTTGAAGTTTAATAAATATCTGAAAAAATAGCCATTCAGATGCAAATCCAAGTGCTTCTGCTCTGCAGACTCATGTAAGACAAGGCACTTGTTTCAACCGTAGTGCTTCATTAACATTTGATCAGAGAGATGTTTTTGCTGTCACGACTTCTTCATCCAGTAACTTTGACCCTGCAACTGCTAACAGCTCTGCCGTTCATTCTTCCTTCTTTTACAGTAAACAGAACACCCACCTAGGCAGTACAACACCTAACACTGGACTGTACATGTCATTCCCATGTTAACATTTTTTACAATAATCATCTGAGTCTACTCAGAGAAAGTTTGGTACTGTTACATGCGTGTAACCTGCAGCTGACAGTCAGATGCAGGGTATTAACCATCTTCTGCAGAATGAATTCTGCATTTTGGTAGTTCTTGTTCTGGGTATGTGGAAGCAGGTAAGCCAGTGTTTCCACACTTGCCTCTTACCAATATCATGATTCCTGTTCATAAAACAGTGTGGGACTGATGAGCTGTTATCTGGACTCTCTTGCTGGAATAGTGTCCAGAGAAGTTTAAACTGGAAGTCTTAGAAAGACAAAAATGATCACATCCTCTGACCTGTTGTGCAACCCAGGTTACAGAATTTTATCCAGTTATTTCCATTTCAAGATTCATAGTTTCTAGTTGAGGTAATGCATCTTTTCTGGAAAAATGTAAACTTTTTTATTTTTTTTAAATAAGGCCATGGGTGTTGAGTGAGTCAGACTTTCAGGGAACTAGGTTCATGTCTGTTTGCTCTCACTATCAGAAATTTGCACCATGTTGTAAATTTATAGAATGTCATTTCCCAGATACTGTGTTTTGCAGGTGTCTTGTCACTTAGAAATGTGTTATTAAGTCTTTCAAAAGTCTTTCACTTGCAATGATCAAATGACTCCTTGTTAAACACCTTCTGTTAGTTTTGATGTTCTCTCTTGTAATACCCTTTCCTACATTTAAGATAAACTCAGATTATAAAAAATTCTCCAGTTTTAATGTGACATTTTATCCTTCGAGATCTAATTGCAGTTGAACAGCTGATCAGCTTTGCCTTTTGGCTTGCTTCCTGTAGGCTTCTCTAAATTACTTTTTTCACTCAAATATTAATGTTGTATTTAATATCCTTATGAAAAAAAAATTATGTTTAAAACATAATCCTTCAAGTCCTGTCAAGTTTTTGCCGCATTTGTTTCTGCATGTTTTTTCTGGATCTAACTGTTTGGGCAGTATGAGTGAGCAGGCAAGGTAACCAAGACCCTGCATTTCCCCTACAGGACTCTGACACCACCATACCGATCGACGAAACATTACAGTTTAATGAATCCCTCCAGAATGCCCATCGTGGCATGGACGATCTTATTGGCAGTGGGACCAACATCCTTCAGGGTCTGAGGGACCAGAGAGTGACATTAAAGGTGGGGGCATCATCTTTTACCAAAAAGACCCCACGTTTTTCTGTGTTTATGATGACCAGGCTAAGTAAAAGAAATACATGAGTTTGTTTCAGTACACTGCTTCAAGCTGAGAATGCTGTGAAAGGCCCAAACTCTATTTTAACTCAACCTGAAATCTTTACATTTTATCATCAGGAACATCTGTTAAGCTCTTTTTGTGGCTGGGTGGCCTAGCAGTCTTCACCTGCATGGTAGTTAGTAGCTGTAGTGCTGAATGTTATGTTTTGTTCCCTTCTGGGTTTTTTTTTTGTTTGTTTGGTTTTTTTTTTGTTTGTTTGTTTGGGGTTTTTTTGTTCAAGTGAAGAAAGGGAAGTAATGGCTAGCTTGGAAGATAGATGTTGATTCAGATGAACATCGCTCAGGCAACCACTGAAAAAGCTGTTGTGAAGTACTTGTGTTTAAGATAAGTAATAGAGATAATACTCTCTCAGGTCTAATGCACCTCAGCAATATATCCTTCCCTGAATACTGTTAATGACAGCTATATTTCTTAATGTATCTTAATAATAAATATTTGCCTTTTATTTTAAAGATTGTTGAAAGTGATGTGAAATGTTAAGCAGATAGCTCAAAGATACAAAAAGCTTTTTCATAAGAAGTGTGTGTTAGGGGAGAGCTGGATTTCTGAAAAATTTGGGGAAATCCCTATCTCTGTTGTATTCATCTTCTGATGGGGATAGCTATTGTTGTCTGTTTTGTGATATTGCTTTGTTTTGGGATATATCTGCCAGAGGATTTAGGCATTTTTTTTAGGCTAACACAAATCCCTACATTTGGTCAGATGCATCACACCTTAAGCTCCATGGATTGCAGACTAGGGTTTCACTGACTATAAAGGCAGCCTAGCCAGCTTGCGTACAGATAGCTGAACTGTGTACATTTGCGTTTTGCTGGAGCAACTTCTAGTGCCTTTGGTACCCATGTCCTAGGAGTTACCAGAGCTGGGTGTCTTCACAGGGTAGAGTTGCTAGGGGCTTATTTTCATCCTAGTACCTGTTGCAATTGACAAGCCTACTTCCTCCTCATCAGAGAGGTCCAGGCTGGCTGGTATTCCCAAAGCACTGGACAGGACCACTGCAGGGTGTAATGACAGAGGACGTTTGTCCTTTGTGTTTAGCACTGGATGGCTTTGGAGACTGGTAACAGTGGCTTGGGGCATCCGATCAGTAAAGTGCACGAGTGTGCCTGTGCTTCACACAGGGACTTTGAGGTTGTCGATTCTATGAGATGGTAAGTCACTGATTCAAGGTAATCTCTGATGAGTGACTGAAGCACTTGGCGTCTGGGGGGGTTCCTGAGAAGAAAGTGCATACATCAGAAGTCAGGAGAACTTAACCACGGTTGGTAAATATGATAAAGGAACATTTGCAGTACCTGCTGCCTCAAAGAGATTGAGAGGAAATACTATTTCTTGTTGTACTCAACAGTCCTGTCTTGCTGCTTTTTGCTAGTTAGATTGCAGTAATGTCCCTGGCTTCCTACTAGGTCATGATGGGCCTTTTGCAAACATAAGCACGTCTTGCCTCAGCTGCCAACTTGTGGCAAGTCAAGCATACTTCAGGTCAGAACTGCAATAGTAAAGTTAGTGTGTCTCTGCCCACTGCTACAGATAGTCTGTTCTTTTGGGAGCATCATGTTCTTATGTTTTCAGGGGGATATTTCTTCTCACTCCTTGAGGAAAGATCTGTTCATAGTTGTCATGGTTTAGCCCCAGCCGGCAACTAAGCACCACACAGCCGCTCGCTCACTCCCCCCTCCCTCAATGGGATGGGGGAGAGAATTGGGAAAAATCTTGTGGGTTGAGATAAAAACAGTTAATAGGACAGCAAGAGAGAAGGAGACAACAATGATAACAACAATAATAATAATACCGACAATAATAATAATACCGACAAAGGAATGTACAAGAATGAGTGATGTTTATACAGCAATTGCTCACCATGTGGTGATTGATAGCCCGTCCCCAAGCAGCAATTTCCATCCCCCGACTAACTCCAGTTTATGTACTGGGCATGACGCCATATGGCGAATATCCCTTTGGCCAGCCTGGGTCAGCTGTCCCAGCTGTGTCCCCTCACAGCTTCCTGTGCACCCCCAGCCTTCTTGCTAGCAGGCCAGCACAAGAAGCTGGACTGTCCTTGACTACTTAGCAACAGCTCATGACATCAGCACATTATCAACATTTTCTCATCCAAATCTCAGTCCAAAACATAGCCTCACACTAGCTTCTGTGAAGAAAACCAGCTCTATCCTGGCTGAAACCAGGACAATAGTAATTTCCCCTTAGCTTTTCTTACACTATCAAAGACTTTGTTGCCTGTTTACAAATCTGGGAGAAGCAGCTAGCATAGAGACAACTTCAGAAGCTAAATTTGGAAGCATGTTAATCTAGAACTTCTTAGGTATTGAATATAAATAGAGACAGCTATGAACAAAGTATTCCCAAATTATCGCAAGGCTTTAATTGTGCTAGTTATACTATTCTACTGTTCCACAGACTGCAAGAATTAGAGTGTCTTCACTTTTCTATTGTTTGCTTTTATTTTAAACTTCATATTTTGGTTTCTCCAAGCAAACTTTTATTTTGTTCTGAAGTAGCTTGAAAAGATTGTTCCAGAGACAGGGAAAAATGCTGAACTTTAAAGTGTAGTATCCAGAGTTTTAAAGTCAGGTGTATGAAATGAAGGAGAAAAATGTGATTATGTTTTACCAGCTGAGATGTAACTTGATTTCAGAAAAGGGCCTAAATACCTACACAGCCTTCTACAGAAGAAACTGGTTACCTAATTTGGTATTGCAAATCTGTATATTTTATGGATTGAGAAACTGTTTGTGCATGTATGTCTAATATAGTTGATATAAATTCTGTTCTGAGAGCTCTTCTGATACGAAGTCAGGTTGCTATTCAAAACAACTCCAAATTTTCATCTTTTTATTCTTTTGAGACCAAAGATGGTCACAATGGACTGTGAGAACAGAAACTGGAGAGTTTTTATTTTAAAACATGGTAGGTGAGCATTGTGATGGGAATCTGTGCTATTGACCTTGCTCAGAGAAGAAATAACATAAGTCTTACAGCTTTCAGAAGCAGGGTGTTCTGTTAAGGACTTGGACCCAGAAGTCAGTTTGAGAAACTAGGTCCATTATCGTCACCATGGTGTGACAAGGCTGCTCTCTAGCAGTACCCATCTTTGTGCACATGTAGGTGCGACGGAGGCTGGTCTTGGCTAATGTCCCTGACTGTGTGCTGTGAGCTGAGCAGTGGTGCTCAGTGCAGCATCTCTGCCCGCCCATTGGTATGTTACCCATTTGTCTAGCTTATCTAAAGGGTGCTTCTCACCTACCTGTACCATTGTGACTTTGCAGCCACGTGTTCTCTCCCTTCTTCCCAGAGGCGATGATACCCACCTCTGAACTGTGCCCAGAGTACATCTTTGTGCCTGTATTACGTACAGTTTCCTTTGACCGTTGCCCTGAAATAAACTAGGAGTGTTCCTGTTGCACTGCAGTAGTGATGCCCCCATGTCATTTCCTGGTACCCCTGGTTCTGCAGCTCACTGTGTTTATTTGTTCTGTGCTTACTGCTGATGTGGTAACTGGTGGGATCCACATTCTTAATACCCACTGCTTCAGCAGTGAAACAAAACTGAGGTGTGGGCCTGCCTGCAGTATACCTGCTAGCAGTCTTTGTTCAGCGGGGGACAGACTTTTTAGCAGGGCCTGTCGCGATAGGACAAGGGGTGACAGTTCTAAACTAAAAGAGGGTAGATTTAGACTAGATACACGGAAGAAATTTTTCACAATGAAGGTGGTGAAACTCTAGCCCAGGTTGCCCAGAGAGGTGGTAGATGCCCCATCCCTGGAAACATTCCAGAGAGGGCTGGACAGGCCTCTGAGCAACCTGGTCTCGCGGAAGATGTCCCTGCTCACTGCAGGGGGGTTGGACTAGATGACCTCTAAAGGTCCCTTCCAACCCAAACCATTCTATGATTCAGTGCTTTTCTCCAGAAGGATTTCTTGAAATTGCATTAATTACATTTTTATATGCCTCTTCATTGCACTCTACCTTTGCACTTGCCTTACAAGTTTCTGGACCTCCTTTTCAACCTCTTGTTGGTACGAACTGCCCTTTAGCAGGAGGGAAGTTCTGTGAGAAAGGTTGTGTAATCAAGAAGCTTCAAGCTTCTTAATAGACTGCATGTCTGACAAAGGACCAGAAGAACCTTTAACAACACCTCCATAGGAAGCGCATTTTCTCCGAGCCACTCTTTATGATGTCTCTGTCTGGACAGATTGTTTTGTATCTTTAACCACATTCCTGTTCATATATTAATTAGTCTTATAATCCAGCTATTTCCAGGGTCCTGTGGCCATCTCCTCTTAAACTGTAGGGATTGTTGGCTGATTAGAATTCATCGCTTGCCACCTGTGATGAAATATTCTTGGACTGTGGACTAAGAAGTGTTGGACCACGACGTTAATTGTTTCTTTGCTGTCTTTTTATTCTTAGGGTACTCATAAGAAGATCCTGGATGTTGCTAACATTTTGGGCTTATCCAATACAGTAATGCGGCTGATTGAGAAGCGAGCCTTTCAAGATAAATACTTCATGATTGGGGGAATGATTTTGACTTGTGTAATTATGTTTCTTGTCGTGCGTTATCTGACATGAGCTACTGGACTATTGCCAGAGGAGATTGTCTTTTGGAGCAAGATGGACTGTCCTCCAAACTGTACTTTCCTCTGAGTGCTCCTTTGGATGACCCCCTCCTGTGAACTTCAGAGTTTACAAATCACACTCAGACAAATGTCACGTGGAAAGCACATAAGAAAACAAATTTCTCTGGGGACGCTGTAGTTGAGAATGGCCCTGTAAAAATACCTGTTGCCTTTACTGATCTCACTTTATTGTCTGCAGTTTTAATAATCTGGCTAAATAAGAGGCAGAAGTGAAAATTTTGCCCAGCTGTGCTGCAAGGTAGGAGTCTCCTTTTGGGTAGATAGGGATAACAGGATGCAAAGGCAGAGCATAACAAGTAGTGAGCCTTTCCTGTGCTAGGTAGGAGAGACCCTGATCACTGTATTTTGCCATGAAAGAATGCCACTGAGGAGAATTCTGCATTTTTGTGGGCATGCTCCTGCAAAGTGTGCAAAAAGAGGCAGGAAATGCAGGGTTCCCATCTGCAAACTCACCATTTGGAGGGAGTTGGATTTGTGGTGAAGGGTCTTAAAGCACAGTTATAACCTCAGCTAACTTTTTTGCTTATGCATACAGTATTAAGCAGCACAGATCTTCCTGATTTAGTCTGAAATGGTTCTCATCTTATCTGAGGTATGTTTTGGTACCTTTTCATGCCCCGCTGCTTCCCAGGGGAAGCTGAATGCTGTATTTCTGCCTGCTTTGAGTCAGATGCACATCAGGCCTGTGTCATCTCACTGTGCCTAGTACCAAATCCAGCCTCCAAAAACGGTAAGACTAGCATTTTTAGTGCTAGTGCACATCATGTTTTGGTGAGTTGTATTCATTTTCTGAGGTGGTCGGTTGGAGTATTGTGCTCTGTAGCTGCTGTTTTTTTGAATTGAAGCAGGTAAGTCCTCACTGTCCTCAAATTCAGATTTGTGATTTTTATTTTCATAGAGCTGAAATGGGTGCTCTCTGCTGTTCTTTACAGTCAGAATAACAGTGGGATCAGGACAACAAACCTTTCACTTAAAATCAGTTGTCAAGAGTTTCCTGAAGTTACGTGCCTTGGGATGGTAAACATCCCTCATCCTTCGGAAGGTTGTTCTTTGCGTTATCCATCATACCTGCAAAATTACTGTGAAAGACATTCTTATACTTGTAGCCAACTTAGATGTATGTCCTTGGTTGTAGATATCTAGCCACATTTAAACATTCATAGTTATGAAATGCCTCGTTGTTTAAATATGGTACTTCTTTCCCTGCAGACTGGGAGGGCTCTGTTAGAATGTCCATCCTCAAATTTTGGGCATCATCCATTTCAGTCAGCCTTCAGATACATTCCCATCCCAATTCTTGTGCAAGTCTGGAGCATTTCCAGGTGTCTGACAGTGGCACAGCAGTGTCATATTCAGATGATGTGGCATAATGCTGGCAATTCCTTCTTTCTTTTTTCTGTCTGGAATGGTTGTGGGTCTTTTAATTAGTAACAGATTATGAGTTCTGCATTCTATCTTTGCTGCAATAAGCTTTGCTTTTATTAGTAGCCTGTTGTAGACTTGAAGAAATTGTATTAATAATGGTAAAAAATGAATTTCGGTTAAGATGGGCATGTGAAACGGTCAGCTTCGTACTTGGAACCCAGGGCAAGGGAAGAGTCAGCAGCTGGAGTGCTAGCTGGCTGCACCACAGACACAAACGTGGAGGCCAAGATACCATCAGCACCAAGATAATGCTAAGGGATGGGTCAGCAGAAGAAAGCAGGAGAGCCTCAGTACTTGTTGAGTATCCGGTGTGCTGCATGCCTTCTGGCTCTCTGTTTTGTGCTTCTCAATGTGTTTGATGCTTCTCAAGTGTTTTGTGCTCTTCATGTTCCTCAGTCTGCTAGGCTTTCCCAAGGAAACACATTAGCAGACCAAGTATAGAATTGGTTTTCATTTGAGCCTGAGGGACTAGGGAATTAAAAGCAAAAGAAGAAATCTGCAGTGAGAGATCATCTGTCTTACTGTTTCTTTCATCTAAATTGTAAATCTAAATTTACCTTAGATTTATTTTAAATATGAAATCTGATAGATTTAGCATACTTGCAAGATCATCCTCTGTGAGATCAGTTGGGCACCTTGTAAGGGATCCCTGGCAAATCTTTTCCTGTTCTGATAAACTGGTCCAATTCCACCTTGATTTTACAACTTTATGGTTTAGTGTTTAAAGGATGGCATTTGATGGTTTTTAAAGTTTATATATTTGTGACCTGGTGTAGCAGGATTTGTCTTACACCAAGGTTGGACTCTAGCCAATTTGTTTCCTTTTTTGGCATGTGGTAGGAGCCATAAAATAATTGGAACTGGATTTCTTTTTTCTGTTTTGAGACTAGCTTAGCATTTTAATACATGTGTCTCTGTTCATTCATTTTGCCCCTTCAGAGTCTCTGTGTTCTTGTGCAGGCTAATTTCCTTTTTGTAAGCAAAGTGCCCTTGCTATTCACCGTGTCTAAAGGTGAGATGTGGGGCTTGGAGGAACCACTTAGGTAACTGGATTTGATGATGTGCAACTTCATACAAATTTATACTAGATGTTAAGTCCAAAATGATTTACAAGAGCATCTGTGCTGTCTCAGACAGTGTAAAACCCTCAAAGCCTCTACCATTACAGTGTGCCACAGTAGGAGCACAGGTTAGGGTCAAGAACCCTGCTAACATGAAATGAGACAGAGCTGAAACCCTGGTGGCTTTATACATGTTGGTGCTACAGCTCTCTGTAAAGCTTACTAAAGACTACATTTCCTTCAACAGAGCTGTTCTATTTCTGAACTTCTGTGGCACAGCAAGTGTTCCAGTGGTTGGATGAGCTGCTCTGTCACGAGGGGACACTGTGGAAACAAACTTGCCTCTGGAAAACTTTTTACCAGTACATAAAGGGGCAAGGGTGGGGCATGATGTGATTCATGTGATGTGTTATGTGAATAAAGATTTTTTTCCAACCAAAATAAAGCATTTTACCTTGACTAATACATAAGGTGCCCAAATACTTAAACAAGCTGGACAATATCCAATATTCTAAGTATTGAGGCAGGTAAGGCAGAAGGCTGGAATCCCTCCCTGAGCTCAGATGTGAAAAGGAAGTTCACAGAAAGTGGAAGCAGGAGTGGGCTACCAGGAAGAATGGGTAGAAGTTACTCAAGGGTCAAAGCCAAAGCTTGGCTGGCATTGAAACGAGGGATAATAAGGGCTTGTAGAAATCTGTTGGCAGTAAAAGCAACCAAAGCCACCAGCCAAAGGGAAGGGTCACTAGAGGAGGCATCTGGGTGACAGTCTTTCCTCCTGCAGCTGCTCCTACTGCCCACGCAGGAAGGCGAGTGGTGGCAGATGCCCCACCTGAGGGGGAACGGCCAGAATGGGAGAGAAGAGGACTGGTTCTTCAGGATTCCATGGAGCGGGGGACTGCGGAGCCAGACTGGAGCCAAACGCACAGGGAGGCAACTGAGGGAGAAAGGGTGCAACAAGAAGAAAGGAAATGGGAAACATGGGGTGGATTTTCTTCCCAGTTCACCAAGAATGGATGGAGAGAGGAGGAGGGATCTGCAGAGGAGAAGGCACCAGCAGGGAGAGGGTCACAGGGTTGCTGTGGAGTAGCCCAGGCTGTGTCTTTCAGTAGGAAGTGGGTCCCATCACCTTTGGAAGGTGTGGGGGAGTGTGTGTGCTGGCTCCAGACCAGGTGCTCCCAGTGATGGCTCTCATGGGTGAGACTGGTTGTGACACAGCAGGCTTGTATGGCCCTGGAAGTAGTGGTGGTTCAGGCGCATGGTAGAAATGGTGGTGGTGGTTTCTGCTGGCTGGGTGGTGGAGCAGGAGTGTGGGAGCAGCTGAGTGCAGGGCAGAGCTATGCTGCGGGGAAGATACCCAGGACCTCAGCGTGCTCTGCCTGCTCCCTCTTTGGCACTGGAGAAGGGCCAGACCTTCCTCTCTCCTGGCCTCTACCTGCTACTGATGCAGGTGGTGGGGCTGCAGTCCTGGTGTCCTGCTCAACCTTCCTTCTAGGTTCTAATTAAGGATAGCAAAGGAAGAACTTGAGGGCAAAATGTGGCTGTTGATAAAGAGATCGTGGATTTAAAATGTGAGATCAAGGGGTTAGATTATCTTTCTCTTGCAATTATGTTTTGTTTTGTAGTAATTGAAGTTCCCCACAGCTACAAAACACTTACTGAATCAGAAATACCCAGCAAAGAATACAAAAAGTTAAAAATTCATCCAATGATGTAGGTATAAACTAGATAGATAGATCAAATCAGCCTTTGGCAGTCTGCTGGGACAGGTTTCATGGTTTATCTTCTAGGGTGGTCCCCTAAAGGGCTTCAATATGATAAGCAGCAGCTCAAGCCTAGAAATAATATTTGTTGATTCATCAGCGTGCTTTAAGGTGTGACTGCATGTGTGGAAGAAAGCTAGGAGGGTATAAAACAGAGAGGAAAGTTTTGAAACAAAGAGGTTAAGTGCAGTCAGTATTTTAGCAGTTAAAAGCAGAGTGAAATGTGGCTAACGTATATGCAGATCGGAAGGGGAGATAATGAATAATAAGACATTATGATTGGATGGGACAGAACTAATTTAGAAGGAAGATAGTACAGATAAGTACTAGAGGACGTTTATACTTGTCTAGTAACCAAAGCTTAATATGTATACTTTTTCCAAATGTTAACCCCATAATGCGTGATTACAACTGATATATGTTAAAAATCTCCTTTAGAGTAAACCTAAAACAATGGTAACGCTATCCATGACTGTAGTAACAATACTGAATGCTTCAACTGTAGAAGAAAAAATTTGTGAGCTATAACACAATCCAATACAATAACAGTGTAAATATAAAAAATTTGAAAGCTGCTCTGCAGAGGGTGCTCCTGCCTTGCTTTGTTTTGTCTTGCCCAAGGCCTTAGGGTGCTGAAGCCCTTCCTTGACACCTCCCCACACACAGCCCTTGCCAGCCCCTCTGCCCAATGCCAGCTCTCCCTATACCCAGCAAGCACGAGCTGCTGCAGCC